ACCGAGAGTGTGGCCTAGGATTCTGCATTTTTACTAAGACTTGGTAGAAATGCTTATGAAGGTGGCTGCTGGTGATGATAGTGATGGCGGGTGGTAGCTATAATGATCGTGGTTGTAAAAGCTTGACTTTCAAAGGCTTATGATGTGCTCGGTGCACTTCTATAGGCGGTTTGCAACTATTGACTTACCTAATGTTCACAACAAGCCCATGTGCTAAGATGCTGTTGTTATCTGGAGAAACTAAGGCGGAGATAAATTAAATAACTTGCCCCCCAAATAACTAATAAACATAGTAAGAATCCATGAAATAAATGAGGCGTATTTCTTTTCATTTTTAAAAACTGACTTTCTAAAGGATTGCTGTAAATAATGTGAATGATATGAATGTAAGCAGGTTTTTGTATAAACTGGCATATCAGTGTGCTAGCCCTATGTAGAATACCTTAACTAAACCTGAATATGGATATTTGCTATTGCTTTTAGGAAGCCTGTTAACATTTCTAGGCATACACATACAAGATTAGCACATGGAGGAAAACTTTATTGAACCTTCTACACATTTCGTGTGATTTTAGGAGGACTGTCCTTTACTATTAATATATATATACACAGAAATATGTACATATATACACACATGTATGTAAACATATACAGACATAAACTTGAATCTCTTTCTTTAAATACATATACACAGCTATGTGTGTGTGTGTGTGTGTGTGTGTGTATATATATATATATATATACTGTCATCTCTTGCTATTCTTGAGGATTGGTTCCAGGACCCACTTGGATACAAAAATCTGAGGAAGCTCAAGGTTCTAGTGTAAATTATCTTAGTATTTGCATATAACCTATGTACATCTTTACATATAATTTAAGTAACCTCTAGATACTTATAATACCTAATATAATATAAGTGATAAGTAAACCTGTTATACTATGTATTTTATTAATTTGTGTTATTTCCTTTCTTACTCTTTTTTTCCCCAAAATATTTTTGATCTGTGGTTGGTTGAATCAGTGGATGTGGAAGCCATAGATGCAGAGAGTAGATACTGTGTGTGTGTGTGTGTGTGTGTGTGTGTGTATTGAGATTTACTTTGTGAGTTAAACCCCCTAAGCATGTATCTTTTTGTATTAATATTTAAAAGCATGAGATAAATCTTGATTTTACATGCTAAAATATTTTATTGTCTTTTTAATAATAAATGGTGAGAATATTTTATGGACTTTTGGCTCATAGGCTCTGAGAAGGGGGGGTAAAAGCAGTGGCTGTGGTAATGATAGAGTGGAACTAATTTTATTTAACAGTGCTACCTGTTCAAAAGAGTTTGGTCAGTGATTTTAGGTGTTGCCTAATGAGTGTTCTGACTCGAGATCACTTGAACTAAAAAGCATGTTGCCTTTTACTAGAGACAGCTCGTGAATTCTGACTTTGAGTAGACAGTAATCTAAATTGAGTTAGTACACTCAGTTAGATGAAAGTTGTCTAACTTTTATCTTTACAACTAAATTTAAAAGGTGCATCAACTATTTCTTTTTAAAAATCCTCTCATTTTTACTTTTTAAATTAATACTCATTTTGATTGACAATAATGATACGAATTTATGGAGCACAGTGTGATATTTTGATGTATGTATAAACTGTGACATATTTAAATCAAGCTATTTAACATATCCATCACCTCACTTACTGATCATTTTCTATGGTGAGACATTTGAAGTTTACTTTCTTAGCTATTTTGAAATGTATAATACATCATTATTAACTCTAGTCACCTTGCTATACAATAGATCTCAAAACTTATTTTCGTATCTGTCTGAAACTTTGTACTCTTTGATCAAAAATTCCTCTTTCCCCCTCTCCTCATCGCTCACCACTCACCTCTCACCCCTCCTCTCTCCAGCCTCTGATAACCATCATTCTACTCTCTACGACTATGAGTTCAACTCTGTTAGATTCCCTGTAGAAGTGAGATCACACAGTGTTTGTCTTTCTGTGCCTGTCTTATTCTGGTGAACCTTAAGATTCATACATGTTACTCCAAATGACAGGATTTCCTCTCTTTGTAGTACTGAATAGTACTCCATTGTGTATACATGTATTTAACACATTTTCTTTATCCACCTATCTGTTGATGGACACTGAGGATTCTTCCTTATCGTGGCTATTGTGAACAGTGCTGCAGTGTACATGGGAGTAGATACCCCTTTGACATATCTGTTTAATTTCCTTTGGAATATGTGCCCAGCACTGGAATTACTGGGTCATATGGTAGTTCCATTTTTAGTTTTTTGAGGAACCTCCATAATGTCTTCACTGATTTATATTCCTACCAACAATTTGCTGTAAGAGTAAAGGGTAAGAGTACCCTTTTTCTTCCCATTCTCTCTAACACTTATCCTTCATCTTTTTTGTAAAGCCATTCTAACAGATGTGAGGAAATATTGCATTGTGGTTTTAATTTGCGGTTCCCTATTGGTTGGTGATGCTAAGCATTTTGGTTGGCCATTGGTATATCTTCTCTTGAGACATGTCTATTCAGGTTATTTGCCCATTTTTTTAAATTTTTATTTATTTTTTAAGATGAGTCAGGTGCAGTAGTGAGAAGGGGGGAAAGAGTAGAACAAGGAGTTCAGTCCATAACTGACTTGTGAACAATCAAGTGAGGTAATTCACTACCTTTGGACCAGCCTTTCTACCCATTTAAAAAAAAACAAACTTATTTTCATTTTAATTTAAAGACAGGATCTGGGGTGGTGCCTATGGTTCAAAGGAGTAGGGCGCCAGCCCCATATGCTGGAGGTGGCTGGTTCAAACACAGCCCCAACCAAAACTGGAGAAAAAAAAGACAGGATCTAACTCTGTGGCCCAGGCTGAAGTTTAGTGGCATCATGACAAGTCTCTGCAGCCTCAAACTCCTGGGCTCAAACCATCCTTCCGTCTCACCTCCTGAGTAGCTGGGACTCCAGGCATACTCAATCATGCTCAGCTAGTTTTTCTATTTTTTGTAGAGTAGGATCTCACTATGTTGCTCTGGCTGGGCTTGCCTATTTACAATCTGGTTATTTGCTTTCTTGCTATTGACTTGTTTGAATTACTTACATATTTTGGATATTAATTTATTATCATATGTATGGCTTGCAGATATTTCTTTTCATATATCCTATTTATAAGTTTTCTGAACTTCTCTGGCTGCTCCTGTTTATATAGTTGAGATGAGTTATATTACACAAAACAGTCAAGGTATAAGATTCTGTTTCTAATATGCATGTGGCATGCTTTAGTTGTTAGACAATCTTAACAACTGAATAAAATAGGGTTTCAAGAAGTGAAAGAAAAAATGTGATGCCATGGAGAATTCTAGGGAAGTATCCCTTTTAAAGAGGGTTTTGATAAAATGTTACATATTTTTCAAGCTCATGTTCTTAGTCTGTAAGAGGTGGGTGTAAGCTGAGTGTCTACCTTAAAGTGGGTATAAAAAGGGAAAAAAAGAGAAGTATCAGGTGTAAGTTAATCATAACACCTTTCTTTCGCTAACTTTACGAATTGATTCTCTGCATTTTCTGATACTGATGATCTGGATGTTTTGAGATTTAGCATGGAGGTTAAAAAGTTGAGATTTTCCTAGTGAAATTATTTCTCTTTCTGAAGTATAATTATTTCTTTCCTTGATTATAATACAAGAAACGTGGTTCATAAGGGGTCTTGATTTTGCTGCTGACTAGCTGTATGACTTTGGGCAAATAATGTCATTTTACTGGACCTGTTTCTTCATTTGTAAAATATGAGGTAGTGTTAAATTCTGAAACTCTCATAAGTGGATTAGTAGAATACATTTCAGATTGTATAAAAACACAAGTCACTTGAGGCTCATCACCTACTGGAATGTGAAAGTAGATTTCTCATGTAGGTGTGTTATCAGTAATGTTATTCATACCAAGGGAATCGTTCTGCGCTTCTTGATTCATGATTTTATTAATCTGATAGTGACTTTTCAGTACATCTTCTGTATTAAAAATTAAACTATTGCCACAAAGATTAGAATCATTAAGATGAGTGAAACAAACATACTTAGAATTGCTTCTCTTAGACTGAAAGCCTGATTTTTTTCTTTTAGGATACCTCCATGTTCTGTAATTTCATTGGGCTAAGGAACTTATGTTTGATCTTCTTCCAGAGTGAGGACATTAATACTTCATAGCTATGTTCTCTATTTAATCAGTTTAAAAGTAGTTGTCCCTTTTCTGCTTTAAAAATGCTTCTTGATTTAAAATCTTAGATCAGTCCCATACATGATGAACCTATGCAAATGATTTAAGCTTTCCCAATGTGCTGCTTTTTTTTTTTTTTGAAATCCAGTCATCCTTTCTCCTCCATCAAGTTTTAGATTATAGTCTCCTTGAGAAAGAAGCTTAGCCTTGCACAGCACCAGGACAGAACTCTGTTATTCTCTGAATAGTTGATGAATGTTTTTGCTATTGAGCATTTTGGATTAAAATTATTGGATATAATAGAGTAATCCTGTTTCTGTAATATCTAACTGGGGGTCACTGTGATTAACTCAAGGACATACCAGTTTTATTAAACTCTATGCTTTGTTTCTGAAGTCAGTTTCTCTTGATTTACTCATAAGCTGATTATTCACCTTGTATTTTCTCTTGTATAATACCCTGGTGTCAGATTTTTCATAGGGAAATGCCTTTCACACTGTAGACTGGATAGATGGACATGTACGTGTACACACGTACACTTGTATGCTCAAGAATTGTGCATAGAGTACATGAGAATTTGAAGTATGAGTCATGTTTAAAACTCAGCTGATCCTCACATAGCTGTCTAGTTATGTGCACTTAGTTTGGGGTCTATTATAGTTGGCATTCAGAAACAATTTTTAAGGAAGTGTATGTTTTTCTTACCTTTCATGTTTTCATTTTAGCTTTATTCTGTTTTATTTTTGCTAAGGACTTAAATTATCAAGGATAAATAATAGCTATTGAAATGGGCCAACTTGTAGCTAGACAGAAATGTTATTAGGGCACGGTGGTGTAGCTTAATATTTGGGAACAATTTAATAAGTCAATATTTGAGAAGCATCAAAACTGACCATACAACCCAGTCATCAGAAACCCTAAGGGTCAAAAATCTTACGAAATGGGAAGACTCTGAAAAGAGTAGCTATAATAATGAAGAGAAAAAAGCCTAAACTGGTGCAGGAAAAGGGCTGAGTAATTTTTTTTTTTTTTACTATAATTAGAAGTTGTTAGGCATAAATTTTGTACTCTCAACATCAGAACTGTCGTTTACAGGCAAGGCGTGTCTCTTCAGTTTTATTCTTTACCTTTTTATAGTATGTACTACTACAAGTAGTTGCTGATTTAACAAATATAAATATAGATGATGCTGTCAGAGTGTTTCCAAATGACAATTACAGTCACCTAAAGTGAAGGCAGTGCTTGACAGAATTTAAATTTGTGGCTCCATAATTTATTATGCAGTTGAATAAAAGCCATTGGTATCATGTATTAATTTGAGTTACAGAATAATTGAGGGAACTTTTTAGGGAGGGCTTACATTTGTATAAAAGTGTTATTAGAATTGTAGGGGATTTTTTAATCATAGCATTTCTTTTCAAATATGATATGACAACTTGAAAGGAGTTAAATCGTATTAATTCAACTCATTTTCCAGTTATGAGCTGTTGCTCGTTATCAGCTGGTGGGTGTGGGAACAAATTAATAAAGTTTGGGTAATTTAGTTTTCAGTTTAAATTCTCAACTGGCAATTGGCCGAAAAGTCCCATCTGAAGATGTGAACATCCAGTGTCATTTTGTGATTTGGCTACTGTCTGCTTGACATAGGAAAGCACCACCAAGAAAATCCAATGGAGTGACTCAGGAAATCAAAGGTAAGAGTTTTCACTTAAATTACAATGTGTGTGAGTGTGCATGTACTGTACACATATGCCTATGTAAAGCCTACCAGTTTTTTATATTTGAATTAAAATTTCAGAGCTTTTACAATCTCAGACATCGTGTCAAATGTTTGAATTGTATTATTTTAATAAAATGCAAAGAATAATTTATAGATAAGCAAGAGATTTCATATATCTAAGATTGATAAGAAAATAGTGTGTGTGAAGAATCTGTTATGTAATTTGACTCTAACTTAATCAAATTAAAGTTTTTGAAGCTCTATTTCAGTTAATTACCTTTAAAAATAGCATATAAAGATTGAGTAAAGTTTAACTTTTAAAAAATAATAGTAAACTGAATTTATCGATTCAATTTCATAGGTGCTTTTTACTTAAATCATCATAAATTTTGTCATAGTCTAATATAGTTTTTTTTTTTACCTAATATAGTTTATTGTTTTATTGTAAAACAATAAGGGGAAAGGAAAAAAGTAAAATATCATATAATAAAATCCATTTAGTTTAACATTAGACCTTTAAAATTGTATCATTCCTACTTTACTTCTGTGGAAAATACTAAATTTGCAAGATGAAATGTTTATATTGTTTACCCCAAAAAAGGCAAAGTAAGTATTCATAAGGCACAATATGAAATTTTGGTGATAAAAATCATACATCTCTCCTCTGCCTCATACATGTTTGCACTGAGAAAATAATTTCTAAATTTGGCTACATTTTTATGTGACCTTAAACTTACATTTTTCCCCTGAATATATTTGGTTTTAATATATGTCCCTTTTTGGACACCTGTGTCCTACCAGATCCATGATTAGTTTTGTTAACTTTGGACATGAGTGGAGGTAGTAGCTTATAAATTTTGAAATCAAAAATTGATTTGATAAGTTTGTTAGAGCTTATGCAAGTATCTCCACCAACAGAGTAGCTTTGTGATAGCAAGATAATGGCTGGTGCAGATTAGCATATTAATAATAAAGCATGGGCCACACCTGTGGCTCACAGGAGTAAGGCGCTGGCCCCATATGCCGTAAGTGGTGGGTTCAAACCCAGCCCCGGCCAAAAATAAATAAAATAATAATAATAATAAACATGATTCAGTTGACCATTGTCAAACTTACGATTTCTGAGATTGGCATAGTTTGAGTATATTCTTAACTAGAGATGTCAAAATGATGTTAATTGAATCTGGCCATCTTTTCAGCTGTTTCTAGAGCTTAATAAGAAACACATCAGGAATAGCCCTTGCGGCAGGTGTCTAGCCTGCATCTGTCATCATGTAAGCACACAGATGTTGACAGTACATGAGATGGCAACATCATCTTCAGTGTGTCTTGTCTACTGATTCAGATTTGTATAGACTACTGTGTGCCATCCATTTAGCTAGGAGCTGAGGATAAAATGATGAGATTAAAAATAGAGAGGCATTCCTAATCACTCTCGAACTTACAGTATAGACAGTAATTACAGTGTACATACAGTCATGCAGACAAACATGAATTGCAGTTAGAACCAACACTATGAAAAGGTGTAAGCTGCCATGGAAGTAGAAGCAGGACAATTGTGTGTAAATAAAGCACAGAACCTGTGCATTTATTTCTTAGAATGAATTGATAACTTTCTCTTTGAACTGTTAAAGTTAATAATTCTTTTAAATGAACATCTGCTAAGCAAGGGATTAGATAAACTAATTTCTAACCATGAAGCAATACATTTTTCATGCTGCTATTCTATTTTTCAGATTTCTTAAGAATTTATTAGAAAGCTGCTTGTCAAAGCTATATATGCTCAAGTGAGAATTGCACTTTTGGGAGAGAGTTCTTATATAGGATCCTTTAACATTTCGAGAATCAATGCCATGAAGGATAACCCTGATTTCTTCAAAAATGCTCAGACATTTTTAATGCTAGTAGAATTTTTTTAAACAACTTCATCTGTTTTTATAGAAAACACTTTTATGTTTCATACATGTATACATGTATGTATTCTGAGGTATACACATTTATTACATTTTGGAAAATAAAATGGTAGAGCATTTGTATGCCTATGTATTTACACTTTTCTATAAGACACAGAAAATCTTGTCTCAGGGAAAAGGAGTCGGGATGTTTGAAAAAATAATGTTTGAAAAATAATGAACAAATAGTGTTTGAAAAATAATGAAAAAATAGTGTTTGAAAAATAATGAAAAAATGTTTGAAAAATAATGAACAAATAATTCATGTTTTATTTGTTAGCATTTTTGAAAACTTTCATTGAAGACAATGTAAAGACAAATTAAATCACAATATAGCATGAAACTAAAATAAAAAGTCTTACCTTTATAATAGAAATTATCTTTCCCTAATTTTCTTCTGAAAAACATAACCAATTTAAAATATTAAATAAGTATGAATCTTTTTTAAATGGCAAAGTCCACAATTATAATGTTGAATTTATCCTCTACAGTGATTTCTAAATTTAGTTTTTCCTGGATATATTCAAAAGAAAGTCACCAGCCTGACTTTCAGTGTTCGGATTTGAAGGATTGGAAGGTCTAAACTCAAAGTTCTAGTTATTTCCACCTGTCAGTGTTGGGAGAAAGATATCTTTATCATACGTCCCGGAAGGAGTATCTTGAGGAAATATTCCTTACTGGGTGGGTAATATGCCTTGGAATGTCCATGACATACAGTTTTCTTTGACAGCTCCTTTTGGTTCTGTGCACTTGGTTTGTTTCGTCCATGAGGTCAGGTGGAATATTGGATATTTAACCACACAATATATTTAAAACACATAATTATATAAACATTGCAGGTGAAAGATGATACATAGCATTTCTTTTATAAAAATTAATTTAAAATGCCTTGTTTCTAAAGTGCACAAGGATCTACCAATAGGGGTCAATTTTTAAGTATTTAACTTTTTAGTATAGCAAATAATACTGTCTGGGTGTGAATATTGTATGTAGTGCATTGGTTTCTGTTTTGAATTATGGGGCTACACTGCCTGAAGAAATGAATTGGAATTAACAATTGTGTAGAATTAGTTGTGGAAAGGAAAAGAATGTTTTCAGTTCAATATAAGTAACAACCTTTTAAATGTAGAAAATAAAATGGGGTGCCTTCCCGATACATTCTTAAGAATTTATGACAGAAATTATAAAGAAGGAATACTTACTGATATAAGTCACAAGGATTTATTTGAAGGAAATTTTTGTCACATTTCTAAATATAAATCTATTGATAATGGTAAGTACATAAATTTCATGTGAAATAGATATTACTGAAAATATTAAGCTACTATTTACAGTTGGATCTCTGCTAAATACATTTAAGAGATATGTGTAGAATACCAAATCCCATTTATCCATTGTGTAAATTCTTATTGACAACATGCAATGTGTCAGTCATGGCACTAGGCATTGGGGACATAGTCATGAATAAGTCCGATGTGATCTTGTAGGCCTGGCAGGGAACATAGCCATTAAAAGATAATTCCAAGTAAGTTTAGTGGCTTGTGACATTATAAAAACTAAGCTGTTCTTTCTGAAGTATACTTTGAGAATTGATCTGTCATATGTTAATAATTTAATCAGTTCACTTTCTTCATGAAATGAGATTATTTGGTTTTATTGAAAGTAGAAATTTCAGTTTTACTGAAATTTAAAATGAGAAATTCTTTGAAAATGGATCTTAGAAACTAGTGGAGACTGAAACAGTCTTATTACTTGTATAGTTTATTTAAAACGAGAAACTGCTATGGAGAGATTTTCAAGTTTCTGAGGTATTAAGAAATTTAAATATGAGCATAACACATAGTGCCTTTCTTGGGTATTATCCGTCACTTAAGAAAATTATACGAAACAGTTTTACATTACAATTTTTCAATTTGTAGTAAAGAAAGAAGTTGGGTTCTCTAGTCCTACTGGTAGGGCTTTAGGATTAAATATAAGTGTTGCAATTTTAAGAAAGTCATATAACTCTACTTTTAATTCGGTTTCCATGTAGGTAAAATGGGATAACCTGAGTATATACCTTATAAAATATTAAATTATTTGATTCATATATAAATAAATATTTGATACATATTAAATTTATTTGATGCATTATTAAATTATTTGATGTGTATATAATACCTAGAATAGTATCTAGCGTATAGAAAGGGCTTGCTATGGTATTGTAGTTATCAACAATAACAATGCTCACAGTTTCCTCATCTCAAAAATAATCCTGATTCATAAAATTGTACCAACTGAAATAATTTCAGAACGGTGCTTAAATACGTATACGTATATATGTAATAAGCACTACAAAAAGCCAGTATCATTATCACTGCTAAGCAAAATGTCAGTGAAATTCTTATCTAACTGTTAGGACATTTTTAGCTAAAGTTTAGTAGTCACTCAAAGACCTGGAGATGCAGTCCAGAGAGATTTTATAACCTAATGTGTTTTTTTGCAATATAGAAAGATTTCTTTCATTGTAAAGTTCTAAATGAGAAAAAGTAATTTGAATACTACAGGTATGGTTTCCCATGACCACAGTCATTTCTAATGTAATCAGTCAACCAATGTCTATTGAAAACTCGCTAGCTGCCTAGTGCTTGCTATTAATGATGTCATGGTAGCCTAAAATAATTATACTGTCATTCTGCTTAGGCCTAGGAAGACTAGAGCCATGTACAGAACACTTAGAGTGTGAAGCACCAAGTCTGAGATCTAATTTCTTCTCTGCCACTAACAAACAGAGGCATCTTAGCATCTCAGTCTCCTCATTACACATATATATCATACATGTGTATCACAGACATACTTAAGTAGCCATCCAAGTTACTTCTCCAAATGGAAATGAAAAGTTAAGAGTTCAGTTGTGATTTTTTTTTTTAATTTCCAGATTTACTGAGTAAAGAAGTCTGTTCTGAAAAATATTGTGCATGATGCTTTTGGATGAAAATACATTATTGATATTTGCATCACTATTTTTAGGGCTTCCCAAATG